ATATATATACAGAATCTCAAAGGCTCGACTGCTTGTATTGATGTAAAATTTAAACTATATCACTGCATGGCTCTAATCTGTTGAATGTGACTATAAGGAATGAAAATATTAAGATATCATAAATATTAACATCATGATTTTTGTAAAGCTGCTTTGAAACAATGAAAAACACTATATAAATCAAATTTGACTTGAAATTTGACAATAACAACAAATTGCTGTTTTAAAATGTAATGTTTTATATGTGGGTGAGGCATCTTTGTGACATCTTTACAACGACCAAAACAGATTACTGCAAAATATGACAATATTTTGGCAGTTCTGGGTTCTGAATGGAATGGTTTTGTCTGTGACTCCGTGGGAGGTTTCCAAAAAGCTGAAGTTGTTATTTCAAACAACAATGCAATTAAACACTGATTGGATGATGAATACAAAGCCTATTGGATCAGTTACATTGAACACTTTACTTAAAGGAGCCAGAAAAAAACATTCCAGAGATTGCAGCTCAGGTCATGTTATTAGAGACAACAGCAGACACATGAGGGGACAGTGGACACTTGAAAGTCGGTGGACAGAGACCAGAACTTCAAGACAGCCTGGTCTGCATTACATCAATGCAATTAAAAGGATTTTCCAGTGTTTAGGTGTAAACAACTTAACAACTTATAACAAATAATATTTGTGATGCAGTTATAAACACTTAGTATAAATCAATTACACATATATTAGAATGTAATAATACTTCTGAATGTTGTGCCACACTAGATGTGTTAATTTAAGAAACCTCCTTTGGGAGATTAAGCCTTCAGATTAAATATAACACTACTGCATGTGTCTTCCTCTCAGCTCTAATGAAATAGGTCAGAAGTAATTTTGACAGCTCTACTTTCGCACCACCAATATGGAATGTTCTAGTAAAACATATATAGACTGTGTTCTCTCTTTAATTTATTTCCCTGAAAGATTCTGTAATCTCAGACAACAGATTTTAGAAGAAAATTAAAAGCAATATCCAATTGTATCTACCAAAAACAGAATTTCACTGTCACTTTATTAAATGTAAATTCACAATGCACAAAGTCCTTACCTCAAATTCAAACTTGGAACTGCCAAAATTCGTCCTCTGTTTCTGCCAGAAGTTGTCAGGCTTGATGATGAGAGCGACGTGGATGCAGGAAGGAAATGATTCCTGTAGGATCTTCAGCAGAGGTTTGATAGAATCCCATTTGGATCCTCGCATATCCACGATGACCGTGAAGCCATGTCTGCTCACCTCCTCACTACACAAACAAATAAAAACGCAGCATCAGCTCTTCTGCACCGCTGACACTCACATCATTAGGGAGATGTAAATGAGAGCCGCTGCTTTCAAATTGAAATACATTTTAGTGCATCATATATAATGTGAAGGAGCCATGCATGGAAAATAACAGTTACCCAAATATAGCATATGAAAGATAAAGAAACCCTTCTTGCTAAATGTAGAGAAAACTGCCATAGGACAAACATAAATAAATAGATTTATGCAAAAGAAAAAAAAGCTAACTAAAGAGCTCTCTAGCTCGAAAAACAGCCTGTTAACTCAAGAATGTTTTCATATCCACAGCTGCACTCCTCTAGTCTGACTCT